CACGGTAGCGGAGGTCACTGGTACGGAGGTGGGTGATGAGGTCAGCTACAGTGGCAAAGGCGGACAGGTCGGGGAAGAGGTAGGGCAGTGAGAGACGGCCTATCGCAGCAGTGGCAGGGGAGGAGTAGCGCGCGACTACTGCGTCGTACAGCTCCTTGGCGGTCTTATGCTGTCCGAAGTGCTCGCGCTCATCTAACGGTAGGTGACTGCGAACGGCTAGGCGAGCGTGAGCATCACGGGTCTGCCACTGGGAGCGAGCAGTGCTGTCAGCAGTAGCGGGAGGTGCGGGAGCAGCGCCGGACGTGTGGTCATAGAGGGAAACATCGTCCTTGGCAGTGATCTGGAGGTACAGGTGCAGGTCATCAAGCCAGACATCGAACTTAATCGGGCGGCCCTCGGCGTCAAAGGTGAGAACAGTGGGACTGGCCATAGTGGCAGTAGCAGGTAGCAGTAGTAGCAGTAGCAGCAGTAGCAGTAGCAACAGCAGTAGCAGAAGCAACAGTAGTAGCAGTAGGAGCAGGTAGGGCGGTGCGACTCGGTCAGGGCGGCGCGGCTTGGGCGGCGCGACTCGGGCGGCGCGACTCGGGCGGCGCGACTCGGGCGGCGCGGCTCGGGTGGGTAGGGCGGCGCGACGCCGGGCCTATGCTCGGTGCGCGGCGGCGCCTAGGGTGCGGCTGCGCGCGGGCCGCGGCTGCGTCTAGCGGCGGCTAAGCGCGCGGGCCGCGGCTGCGTTCTAGCGTGGGCTGCAGCAGCCGGCGCGCGATCGCCGCAGGGCCTACGGGCGGGCGGCTGTGGGTCGCGCGTCGGCCTAGGGGCTAGCGGGGCCTACGGGCGACGGCCTGCTGGGGCTCGCGAGAAAAAATCGAGCCGCCCTAGGCGGCGGTTTTCCTACGCGCGCTAAAACGGCGGGGTCGCGCTCGGGCTGCTAGCGGGCTGCAGTGTGAGAGGAGAGCGCACGAGGGCGCACGAGAGGAGAGGCGCACGAGGGCGCTAAAAAAAAGGGCGCACGAGGGCACCACTAGCGGAACGGTGGGCCCTTAGGTCTAGAACCTATAGCTCTTAATACCATGTCAGAATCAAGAAGTGTGTGAACTATGAAAGTTGGAGTACAAGTAGCAAACCCTAGTTTTGTGTACCCCCTAAAGGCTAACCCACTATAGCCTACACAACAACAACACATATAGTGTTTGACAGACGCGGTGGGCAACGAAGCGGCCGGCCCGACTGTTTGATCCGATAAACAAGATCCGGCTACGATAGCGTTTGCGCCTTCACCGAATGTCAGAAAAATCGCGGGCAACAAGGAGTTATACCTCATCCGACAAAAGCGAACGCTGGGTGAACGGCGGCAAGCGAAAATGTCGGGGGGTGAAGACACAAAACAAATGGAGGGAAATTTGTGGGTGCTCCAGCAGATCTCCAGAGTGAAAGGTTGAGCCCGTACAATCCACCGCGAATTTCGGAGTCTATTCGGTAGACCCCCGAAAGGGTTTGATATTGTTACATGGAGGCGCGGCGAGCGGTGTATCGCCAAGGATACCTGGGATTCGCTAAGTAATTTCGGCGGGTACGAAGACGGGTGAACGTCGGAGTACCAGGGTCAACGGCGGAAACGTCGGGGTTATGCGGCGGAAAATACTTCGGGACTGCTTCAACAACCATGATTTTCGGGGTTTTATTCCGACGGTGGGAGACGGGTGAACGTCTGCTCGCCAGCTGTTTCAGCGGTTTACGGTGTACTTCGAAGCCATCTGGGAAATTCTACAGCGAGATCTGCGGCGTTGATGCGGGCTAGGTTCCGTGAAATTCGGTCCCGGTAGACCCATAGTTCTGGGTTCCGCACAAAAAAGCACCTCCTGTTGGTGGGTGGCTAGTGTGGTTAATCGCAGGAAATAAAAATGGCGACGGGTGGGCACGCTAGATACACCGGTTCTTCAAGGGGATAACCTGCAGGTGACCAAGACGTACGAGAAATTTCAACACCGACACTTACGGGTTTCAGCAGCAGTACTGGGAGCTGGGTCTTTACAAGAGTTCGGCGGTGACGGCCGACAATTTCGCGACAACGGCGGAGTTGCAGCGGCGCTGGGTTAAGCGCGCGAAAACTGCCGTGGTGAACTTCATGGTGGCAAAATCTGCAGAGTTTCAGGGGTACCAGCCGCAACACTGGTGAAATGTATCACAACAGGTGGGGGGAGGAAGGACAATTTTTTCGCCTCTGCCCCGAAGTCTTCGGCGAGTCACGACAACAGCCGAGGTAGCTGACGTCATCGACAGTTCGAGTTTTCAACTTTGAAAAATATTTGCGAGGTCAGGGGGAAGAGCAGCAGCTGTTTTCGTCCCTGCCCGGGAGTTTTCGGAGCAACGCGACAAAGGCCTCGGCGAGTCTGGACAAAACTGCCGAGGGCGCCGACCGCTAGAACACTACAGCGAAGATTTTCGCCACAGCAACCAGCCAAACGGCAGCAGCAATTCGGGATTGCAGCAGCTGCCAACTGGAGATTGGGCAGCAGACAAGTGATTCGATACTGCCACGCGGGGTTTTTGAGGTGGCAGTCACGAGAGACGCTGCAGCAACAGTCGCGACAACAAGACAACACGAAGAAATTCTTAATGCCGACTCCCTGCAAAAACGATATTATTTCGAAGGGACTTCGACAGAATTTACCCTGGGCATTTTTCGGGGTTTTCGACAGTGAAGATTTCGCCACCGACAGCAATTTCGACTGCACAGCGGCTGAATTTCAGGCGGCTAGGTCATAACACTTGGTATTCTGCGTCAGGGTGGTTGAGGTTTTGTGCCCGCGCAGCTGTGCACATTTTGGTGGGCAGCAGTTCCCAGAGGGGGGGAGAAAGAGTGCTCACGCACTGTTCTTGGCAGGTCTCTGACATTTCGGCAGTTATTTCTGACAGTTCGTCTGACACACCCAGCACGACGGACGGGCGCGATGGCTTCATCGACATCGACGGCACCGGATTCATCGATCTCTGACAACACTTCAGACTTCCCGCCGACATGACATTCACCAGAACCATCCGATACACATCCGCAACATCGACGGTCTTCCTTCGTCGAACAATTTGAAATCGACATTCGTTTTCAACCGCCCGATCGACATCGGCAGTATCAACGGCTGACATCCCAACTCTTTGAAATTCGCCTGGTCAACGCGCTCAGCCACGCGTCAACTCGAAAGTCAACATGCTTCCGCACCGTCAGATCAGTTTCAACCGAGATCTGCAGTTTTCACGCTACTGCAAGACTCGCCTACGTATAAGGGCACCTTAATTAGAAGGTGGGAGAGTGTAATGAATGTGAATTCATTACTGTCGAGGCTACTCCTAGCGAGGACAACCCGAACTGTTCGCGTCAGTTTGGGTTCGGCCTACACTTCGACCCGAACCACTTCCGAGTCGCCCCGCACCAATCGCGACACTTCCAACCCATCCACGTCCCGAGCAGGGCTGACGTTTCATATTAGGCCTCCCTGATTCCGGGGAAAAATTTTCTCCTCTATTATGAGTGCACATTTTTCAAAATAATGCTACTCTGATTGCTCAGGGTTGAAAAGTATATAGCTCTGATTGTTCAGGGTCGAAAATCGAGGATCAGAGTAGTAACGCGCCCTTTGTTACAGGGGAAAAAGTCTCCCTGTGCGTAAAGTTAGCGATCTGTGTTTCGCGCACACTTTGAGCGCGCTAATTTCCACCCTTTTAGTGTTACAAAATGGTATTTATGCACACGTTTTAGTGGGGGGAAGAGATGAGCGATTTCGCTCAACCAAACATTTCAATTCGATACCTGAATGTGGCCAACATCGCTGTGCGAAACGCAAAATAGGTTCTGGAAACTTTACGCACACGCAGTTACGACAGCGAAACAACTTATTCGGATTTCGTGAAAATAACACATCGAGTGTACTCGCCTGTCAGACATGCTGCTGTCCATCGCTCACGCGCTGGCTGTACTCGGAAAATAAGGACGCGTCACCCCTTTCCAAAATGGCAGGATCGAAGGAAAATCGGTACAACACACCTATTTTGCCGCGATCGGTGTGCATATCGGTGCGCTCCATTGCACTTTTCCGACCGCAGGGCTCCGCCGAGCCACAGGTGACAAGCTAGGAATTTTATGGGGCAAAATTGCACGATCGCCACAATTGCACGATCGATAGTCGGCTTTTGGCACATCGATCGCGTGAGCCCTAGGTGACACCTTCTGGATGACCGATTTACTGTACATTCTCGAAAGTTTCCGAAAGCTGGAAACAGCACGTTTCGCCAACTCGCGAAAGTACTGTACACCCGACACACCGATCGTGTGCGCGATCGATCGCCGTCCTGAAGAAAGAGGTGACGCGTCCTAACAAACCGAAGGGGGATATCGGAAGGAAATTTCCACGAACCTTCTACTAGATAAGGTCAAAGTCAGGGACCACAGATTCGATACTCTATTAAGTCAGGGTACACTAACAGGCTAGTCTGTTACACTATACTCAAAATCAGGGATAGGAAAACTACTACTCTGATTTGAACAGGGTTGAGAACTCAGTAATTCTGAAATCTCAGTCTCCGCAAAGTGGAAAGTCTGAAATCACCCTGAAATCAGGGTAATTACCCTGATAAAATCAGTCCTGGTCCCGAGGTCCTCGCCTACCACGGTTTCGACCCTATAATTGCTTGCTTCTTTATCATTCTCGTCATTCTGTAATCACAGTCTCTTTATAAAGTCTTCCGCGCACTCTTCTTAGTACAACTCATAACAAGTAGGGCTGGTACTGGTATTTTAAAGCAGAATGTTGCTGTAGCTGTTATAAGAAGTGTTTTGTACTCAACACAAACCACAAACACTTAATAACACACCAAGTCAAATCCTATGTATTCCTACTCCTATACACACAGATGCATGAGGGGAATGCATTAAGCTTATTCCCAAAAAATCAGCACCTTGAGACTCACTGTTGGGCACATTGGGCTTGTCCTAAAAAACCACAAACTCACTATGCGAGTCCTAACCCACCATGAGATGCACTTCCTTGTCCACCTCCGCTTCCCTGCGACCCTTCTCCCGTCCAATCGGCTTCCCATGCTCCTCCCAGCCACCCATCTCCAGCCCACCTATCAGGCCCATTAAACTCCTCAATAAAGAAGCCTTCACTAGATAAGCCCTCCCCAGGCCATGCCTCCCCTTGCCAGGGCTCTAGCTCCGCTCTCCCTGATTGGTTTGGAGCAGTGCTGAAGACAGTAGGAATGTTAGTGACAGTGTGCGGTGGAGGGGAGAGAGGAAGGCTGGGTAAGGCCATATGACCGAAGCCAGTCCCAGAAGGAGGAGTGGGATGAAGTGAAGCATCAGCGGCAGGAGCTGCGGATTGTGCATGAGTGTGTTCAAGTGCTGGTGCTGACGCTGCTGACGTGGGCTGAACAGGGTAGGAAGGAGCTTGTTCCAGTGCTGTCAGCGCAGCAGGAGAAGAGCCGGGTTTGACTGAGAGGCCGAACTCGAGTGGGCTGGAAGAAGCTGAAGGGGATAATATACCGGAATTCCCCAATTGACGGTGACCACTTTCAGGAGTTACCTGACTCGAGGCTTGCGCAGGAGTAAGAGCAGGATCAGGAGCAGGAGCAGATGTAGGTGCAGCTGCAGGGGAAATACCAGAGGCTTTGGTAGCAGCAGAGCCGCAAGTTTCGTTCTCAAATGCAGCAGAGGAATGAGCAGGAGAGGGGGAGGGATCGCTGAAAATGAGCACACGAGCCGATGAGTGGGAGGCGGGTGTGTGTTTTTGCTGAGGGTCGGTGGCTAGAAGGATTGGGGAGGAGGAGGATGGGGGAGTGGTGGAAGGAGAGGGGGAAAAGAATGGGTCTGAAGCAGGCTGGGGTGGGATGCGAGGGGGTGCTGAGAGAGAGGATTGGGATTGGAAGGAGTGCGGTGCGGTGGAGAATGGAGGGCCGGAAAGGGCTGGGGTGGGGGTGGGAATGGTTGCGGTGGGGTAGTGTGACGGTTGGGGAATATGTGAGGCGGTCTCAAAGGAAAGGTGGGGAGGTGGGATTTCAGGTGGGGCAGTTATGCGTTCAGGTGAAAATTCAGGTGGCGCGGCAGAGGACGCATGAAGAGCAGCAGGAGGAGAGGGAGAGGGGTGAACGAAGGAGGATAAGTGAGATGCATCTGGGCATGATGCACCTGCACCGGGTAAAGGTGCAGGGGTGTTGTTGGGGGTGTGATAAATAGGTGGAGGGTAAGGCGACTTAGTGCTTGTCTGATGGACAGATTGTGCAGGCATGGTGCTGTTGGTGTTGTTGACCGTGTTGGCTTGATAAATAGACTGTGGGAGGGTGTTGTTGCTGTGATGAGAACTGAACTGGGAAGGCGTGGTGGCAGGAGGATGGGAAACAGCAACAGACTTCAGAGGCGCCCCAGAAATCGTGTTGGGGTGATGATAAACAGGCTGTGGTGCAATTGTGGTGTTGCTGTTCTGATAAAAAGGAATGTTGTGCTGTGGTGGTGCAGTAGCGGTATTGCTGCTTTGATGAAACGACTGTGGACTCATGGACGCAGGAGGCAGGGAAATGGGGGCAGAAAAGCCGGGGGCAGATGATCCCTGGGTGGGGTAGGACGGGAGAAAGGCCTGGTTGGATGCATGAATGTGCGTAGAGATGCCTTGAGGATAAGCAGGTGTGGGAAGAGAGGCGGGTGCAGGAGAAGCAGGTGCAGTTCGGTTGAGAGTGGTGCTAGGAAGGTGGGGTGGTTGGAGAGGATTCTGCTGGTGTTGGTGGTGGGAAGCAGTTGAGTAGTTGTGAACCGGTTCCCCTGAAGGTGGTGCAAGGCAGGCTGTTTCATAGCTACTGAGAGCATATAAAGGGGCAGGGCTGGGAGAGAAACCCCCGTTTTTGTCACAGTTGCTGCTGCTGTTGCTGTGACTGTAACGAGAGTTGTGGGGACCCGGGTGAGGATGCTTAGAGGAAAAGCTTCTGGCAGCAATGGGGTGTGGGTGGAGGTGGGGAGGGAGAGAGGATAGGCTCTTGCTGCGTGCTGTGCTGGGGAGGTGGGGTGCGGGGGGCAGGGGTGATGCGTGAGGGGATGCTGTTATGGCTGTTCCCATGCTGCCATGCGTGCTGTGCATGCCACCATGCATGTTTTGTATGCCACCACCATGCGTGTTTTGCATGCCACCACCATGCGTGTTTTGCATGCCACCATGCGTGTTTTGTATGCCACCATGCATGCCACCCTGACGAGAAGAGTTATGACTCTCATGCACAGCGCCACGTGACCCATGAACAGTATTCGCCAGCATGCTTCCATCCATGCTTCCAGCCATGCTGCCAGGTAGCATGCTGCTAGGCGGCATGCCATGAGTCACAGTGTGATTAGCCCCTCCGCTACAGCAGCTGCAGCGAGGAACGGAAATTCCAGAAGTCCCCTGATTCTCTACTGCCTGAACGTTTGCAGAAGCTGTAGCGGCGCCTGTAGCAGCAGTAGCAGATGTAGCAGCAATTGTAGCAGGAAAATAACCCTGCTGCTGTCGGCTATCCAATGAAGAATATTCAATCATGCCTGTGGCTATAGCTGTAGCTGTGGCTGCTGAAACTTGTGTTTCACGAGCCACAGACCCTATAGCAGTTGCAGCAGCAGCTGAAGCAGCAACGCCAGCTGTAGCGGGTGTAGCAGTTGTGGCAGCGGCAGCAGGTACGGTATGGCTGGTGCGATTTGAGTGCGAACACTCGGAGGGTGTACAGGTGCATGTGAGAGAATGGTCAGAGTGACCTGACTGCATTGACTGGCCTGACTGCACTGACTGGTATCCGTAACCCTGTGATTGCCCCTGTCCCTGCTGTTGCTGCTGCTGCTGCAACTGGTATTGCTGCTGCGGACGATACTGCTCCCGCTGTTCATTATGCTGCTGTTGCCCCTGTTGTTGCTGCTGATGCTTCTGCAGCTGCTGTTGTGCCTGCTGATGTTGGCCCTGTTGTTGCTGCGACTGATACTGCTGGTATTCTTGCTGCGGTTGCTGGTGTTGCTGCTGCTGCTGATAAAGTTGCTGCTGTTGATTATGCTGCTGTTGCTGTGGCTGCTGTTGTTGCTGCTGCTGGTTTTGCTGATAATGCCTCTGCTGCTGCTGCTGCTGCTGCTGCTGCTGGTTTTGCTGCTGCTGGCTTTGCTGCTGCTGATAGTTCTGCTGCTGATTGCTTTGCTGCTGCTGCCTCTGCTGCTGCTGCTGGTGGTTCTGCTGATATTCGTTCTGCTGTTGCTCACTCTGCTGCGGCTGCTGCTGGCTCTGAGGATGATACTGCCTCTGCTGCTGCTGGTTTTGCTGCACCTGCTGCTGCTGCTGCTGCTGGCGATGCTGCTGCTGCTGCTGCTGCTGCTGCTGCTGCTGCTGCTGCTGCTGCTGCTGCTGCTGCTGCTGCTGCTGCTGCTGCTGCTGCTGCTGCTGGCGCTGCTGGCGCTGCTGGCGCTGCTGCTGCTGCTGCTGCTGCTGGCGCTGCTGCTGCTGCTGCTGCTGCTGCTGCTGCTGGCGCTGCTGCTGCTGCTGCTGCTGCTGCTGCTGCTGCTGCTGCTGCTCATGTAGTTCATTTCGCTCAGGCAGGTACGTAGGTTGGCAGCACAGGCACTGCAGCTGAACACATGCATTCTCCTGCTGCTCTTTCTTCCCTTCTGCCTGTTGCTGTGTGTGGATTAGGTTTTGCTGCTGCTGCTGCTGCTGCTGCTGTTGCTGTTGCTGTTGAAATTGGCTTTGTTGTTGTTGCTGCTGATACTGCTGATATTGCTGCTGCTGCTCCTGCTGATATTGGTGCTGTTGCTGATATTGCTGCTGCTGTTGCTGCTGATATTGCTGCTGCTGTTGCTGCTGATACTGTTGCTGCTGCTGCTGCTGATGAGACTGTTGCTGCTGCTGCTGCTGCTGTTGCTGCTGATATTGCTGCTGCTGCTGCTGTTGATACTGCTGCTGCTGAAGTTGCTGGTGCTGGGATTGGCTCTGTTGTTTTCGCTGCTTGTCAGGGTAATTCTGTTGCTGATATTGCTGCTGCTGCTGATAGTGCTGCTGCTGCTGTTGCTGGGATTGGTTCTGTTGTTGTTGTTGCTGTTCAAGGTAGTTCTGTTGCTGTTGTTGCTGCTGCTGCTGCTGAAACTGCTGCTGACACTGCTGCTGCTGCTGCTGCTGCTGGTGATTTTCTTGCTGCGGCTGTTGCTGCTGCTGGTCCTGTTGTTGCTGCCACTGCTGCTGCTCCCTCTGACCTGCTTCCTGCTGCGAGTACGTTAGGTGCACCCCGCTGTTCTGCATCCCTCTGTGCTGCACTCCACTCTGCTGCACCCCACCTTGCTGCATCCCACCGTTCTGCACCACTCCTTGCTGAAACCCACTGTGCTGCATCAGTCCCTGCTGCCCCACCCCTTGCTGAAAGGAAATCGTTTCTTGAGGCGGATGAAGCACCAGTGCTTCCACCCCATCCAACCGCCCCTCACCGTTCCTAAATGCCTCCACAATTGCAGCGTTAGGCCGGAAATGGGCAGTCCTAATCGCTGCCACTCTCACCCCTCCGCTCACCCCCTCCTTCCTCACAGTGCACATCAGAGGGTTCTCTAGTGTCCCTTGCGTCTGAGGCTCATATTGCACTGACGCTGGCAAGCTATTGCCTCTCACCCCTTCGTTCCCAGCAGAACAGGTCAGGGTCTTTTCAGGCGTCTCCAGGGTTTGTGTGGCTCCGACCTGGTTCACCCCTCCTCCTCCGCCCCTCTGCCCGGAACAAGTCAGCCCTTTAAAATCACTGCTCAGGCCGTCACAATCCGTTACAGTGCCACCTGTATTCGTTACAGTGGCGCCTGTATCAGTAACAGCTGTTACTGTAGGCACGGTTCCTGTGGTTTCTGTGCCTGTCTCTGTTACTGAGTCACTCACTAACCGCCACCCAGAAAAAGCCTGCTCGGGTGGGTACGGCAGGTCCGAACCGAACCTTTCCCATTCCTGACCATCAGGCATGGGCAGCAGGCACGGCTCGTCCTCCCCATCAACCTCCTGGTTTGGAAGGATCCCGAACCTGAGGTCTTCGACCCCGAGCCTGTGATTTTCGGCCCCGAACCTGGGATCGCCAAGGCTGGTACCCTGGGAGATCCCACTTATCCCCGTTCCTCCTCCTCCTCCTCCTCCTCCTCCTCCTCCTCCTCCTCCTCCTCCTCCTCCTCCTCCTCCTCCTCCTCCTCCTCCTCCTCCTCCTCCTCCTCCTCCTCCTCCTCTTCCTCCTCCTCCTCCTCCTCCTCCTCCTTCTCCTCCTCCTCCTTCTACTCCTCCTTCTCCTCCTCCTCCTCCTCCTCCTCCTCCTCCACCAGTAGAGACGACATTCTCTTTCTTTATGCTGCCAATCTCCTCTGCTGCTTTCTCTGTTGCTCGATGAGATTCTGTGTAATGCCATCCTGGTCGTTCGGCAGGGGGTTGAGCTGAAAACCCTCCTGAAGCACCACCTGAAGTACCACCTGAAGGAACACCTGTGCCAACACCTGAAGGGGCAACAGAAGCCGCGCCTGAAGAACCACCTGAAGCAGCACCAGCAGGGGAGGTCAGCAAGGGCGTTTGCATGGCAGGTGGGGGTAGCATGGGCGCTTGCATTGTTGCAGCATGTGGCATGTCTAGCGAGTGGGAGGAATAGCTCGTGAGGCTAGGAAGATCGTGGGTGTGGTAAGGTTGCAGCATTGCAGGCTGTGAGTGTGGCTCAGTGCGTGACTGAGTGTGTGAGGGAGTCTGCGAGTGAGTGTGTGTCTGGGAGTGAGGCTGAGGGGGGGTGTGAGGCTGAGTGCGTGCATCATCGAATGCACGGGTGTGCGCATGCATGTGCACATGATTCTGAAGTGCCTCAGAAACAGAAGCATGGGTGTGAGGCTGCATGTTCACGTGGGCGTGGTGGCACAGGCAAGCAGGCGCCTGTGCAAGGCCACGTGGAGTTTGATCCAAGCCACGTGACGCGGATACCATGCCACGTGGCACATCATCCACGCCACGAGATCCTGATACCATGCCAGGTGTCGTCGTTCCCTCACTGCCAAATAATACCCCAGAGTTCCCGCCACCGCCCTGCTGCATAAGGTGAGGCGATTTAGGAGTGAGATGTTCAAACGCACATTGCACCGTGCCCACCAACCCTTCAAAGCTCCGCCCTGCTTCCTGTGTCCTTCCATCCACCTCCATCCTCTCTGCTTCACCTGCCCCACCCCCCATGCCCATGCCACCTATCGCACCCATGCTATTCATGCCCGCTATGCCGTCACCCATCTCTTCTCCCACACTCTGCCTGCTGCTTCTGCCACCACTGCTGCTACTGCTGCTGCTGCTCCCCCCGTCCCCTCTACAGGCTTCCCCAATACAAGCAGTCTTAGGAGGTGCGGGCGGCTCTGAGTGCGTACCTGCCATCCCCGCTGTAAGCACACTCGGTACAGCTACAGGCGGAGGTGTGACGCTGGGCGCAACCACACACGAACTGGTTACAGGGTTACCAGCAAACGCAGTTGCTCCACTCACGAACTGTCCTACTGTTTGCAACACCGAACCTTTGTAAGCTGACTCGGTAAAAGCAGGAACGTGCTCGACCTTCACTTGGGGTTGTACAGGGGACGTATTGCTTCCTATGAAGGGGGGCTGGCATTGCATGGGCGAGACTCCCTGGTTTATCGAGAGCGCTTGTAAAGGGGATGTAACCAACTCTTTCCTGTCCACCTGCTGCCTCGCGTTCCCTCCAACCCCTCCCCTATCTGCACCCACAGCACCCCCTCCCACGGCACCCGTTTTTGTCTCCCCATTCCCCCAATTTCCCCCATTCGCTGCACCTCCCCCAACTCCCCCCTTTCCCCCAATACCCTCAGGAGCTCCACTTCCCCCGCTTCCCCCGCTTCTCCCGCTGCTTCCTCCGCCTCCCCCGTTTCCCCCGCTCCCCAGCGCGCCCTGATTAGCGCCAACGCCCCTGGCCCAATTCCCCATTCCCGCGCCATATTTATCCACCATAGTGGTAACCACCTTCCCCATGACCACGTGGAGAAGCGGCGCGTGTGGCGGAGCTTGTCGCAGCATTGGGAGTTGCCCGTTTCCCTGCCCGTTCTCTTGCCCGTTCGCCTGCCCGTTTCCCTGGCCGTTTCCCGTTTCCGTCATCCGGTCTTTCTCCTGCGCGTTGCGCGTTCCGCCTGTACCTTCCGCCACCGGCGCATATTTCGCGCCTTCCCGACCCGCTGACTTCTCGTTTCCGTTCCCCTCGTTTCGAGATGTCTCTAAACCAGTGTCACCATCCCTGACCGTTCTCAGCCGTTCACTCAACGTGTCGCCGTTCGCGGCTCGATCATCGCCGTTCCCTGTCGCGGTTTCGCTCTTCAGCCCTGGCGGCTTCCCCCCCTCTCCGCCAGCATCCGCCATCGCCTCCGCATACGCGCGCGCCGCCGCCGCATCTTGCGCTGTCTTCGCCGCCGCTTTCAGCGTTCTCACCAGATCGCGAACTTCGCTCGCCAGCTCTCTGTGCTGCTCCATATTAAGCTTCGCCTTGTTTCCTCGAATCGCCATCGCTGCCACGTCATACGCCAGCGCCGCCGTTTCCGCCGTGGGGAACGTGCCCAGCCACAGGCGCGCGCTGTTGGCGGTATCGCGGATTTCCGCCGCCCATTTTCCCCATGGGCGCAACCGCACCCCGCGGTAGTGTGGGGAATTGGCAGGTTCTTGCGGTCCCCCCTGGTTCGGAGGGTTGCGCGGACTTGCGCCAGCTGTCCCCTGCCACCCGCCGTCGGGAGTCGGCGCGGGGGAAGGTTGCGGAGAGGGGAGTGGGGCAGCGGGGGGCGGAAGGGACAGCGGCGGAAGTGGACCTTGCGCCCGCGCAGCATGAGGGCTGGGGGAGGTGCTGGTGGGGGGAAGCGACAACCCAAGGGGGGAGTTTGAAGGTTGTGAAAAGAAAGGTGGAGCGCCGTTATTCGGAGTTCCCGGGGGAACTGGGAGGGCGTGAGCGCCAGAAACCGGCGCAAGCGCTGGGGAAGATCTGCGGGAGAAGCGGAGAGGAGAGTTAAGGCGGAGAGGGGAGGGGAGGCGGAGCGGAGAGGGAAGGCGGAGCGGAGAGGCGGAGGAAGAGGATGGGGAGGCGACATAAGCAGACGCGACGGCTGTTGGAGTTGGAACAGATAATACCGAGGATGGTGCACCCGAGGACGGTATACCCGAGGACAATGCTACAGTGGCTACGACCAGCGAAACACCCCCAACGGCGCGCTTCTTCCAGCAAGGACCATCCGAGCCGCCCGAACCCCCTCCCTGTTGAGAGCTTAGTCCCTGCATACTCAAATCCAGCCGCGTGTCATCTCGCCGCGTGTCATCTCCCGTGTCATCTCGCCCAAGCTGCCGTTTCCCTCCTTGCGGCCAAGCGGACGGCGACAGGCCCAGCGGTAGGCGCAACAGCGGCATGCTGTCGGGCGGCTTCTTGCTCGTCACGCGCGGCGGCGCGGAGAGACTCGCACGGAGCGCATGCGACGGACTGGTCGGGTTCGCCTCACGAGGCGGGGTGGACGCACCAATCACGTCGGGCGCTCCTTCTGCTTCTCCCGCCGACGTTCCCGCTGCGTCCTCCGCGGCCGTTCCTGCTGCTTCCGCGTCTCTGCTTGCGCCGGTTGCTTCTGCTCCTTGGCAAATCGCGGGAGCCACGAAGCTTCCGCCGTTAGCTAAGCCAGGACGATCGGAAGCCTTCGCACGGTCTTCACCTTCTGCAGCCATTACTGCAGAAAGACACGTTCTCGTGGTTGCCGAAACTCCAGCGCTTTCCTGATGCGCAGATAGACAAGAGGTGGCGGCTGCGACATGGCTGCTGATAGAACTCGGTTGTCCGCGGCTGGTCAGCACGTTAGCGTCAGTCGGCGCGTCAGACGGTTTTCTGAAACACGCCGGCGCTTCACTAAGAGCAGATCCGCTAATGCAGCTGGGTTCGTCATAACGAAAACACGGCGGCGGGCTATGGTAGTTACTAGTAGTTGGCGCGCAGTTCGCAGCGTCGGGCTGGGGGTTGACTCTCTTTCGCTTCGTGAGCAGATCGGAATGCGCCGGCTCGTCAGGAGGACCGACGGTCGCTATCTCCTCCTTGGATTCCGCGTCACGAGTCTGGGTGCCGCTAGATTTCCCTGACGAAACTCCTGGCAGCTGCGGCAGCTGCAGCGGAGACATTGGGCCGAACCATGAGCTCGCTTAATTCCAAAACCACTGGGTGTCCCCTCGGTGCTTTCAGTCAACGCGATGAAATTTCGCCACGTGTAAAACGGTGCCGTGCTGTTTTATATCTAGTGGACGTGCTTCCGCAAGTGCAGCACAGCTTGACGAGCTATCCCTAGCTTCCTCTTCGCAACCAGGGCTTCCTTGGCTAACACGACCAGAACAATTATTGCCGAGTTCCTGACATACTGATCAGTGAGCTAGCGCAGTAGAATGAACGACATGACATTTCCAAGGTTCGAAGAGCAAACATTGAATTGCGGCGCGGGATGCCCTCCTTGAGGCTTCTTTGAAGAAATCGGGGTTTGGTTGGCGGGAATGTAAATTTTGATTCCAAGATTTTGACTTCGTCGCAGACTCTCCTGGCGAGCGTTTAGATCTGCATGCGATCACATGTGAGGGCAATGGTGCTGGGATGGCAGGAATGGTTGTGGTGGTTGGCTCGCAAAGCTCGCAATTGTCGTTCGTTTTGTCGATTATCAGCCGGCAAGTGCATCGCGTGCTACGCCCCGGGTGATTTTGGTTGGCCGAAGGGCTGTCGCTTGCAGGGCGTTTGCCCTGCTGGACCTTGAATTCCAGGGCTGGGTTTCCCTTAAAAACTGAAATTGTTGGGTTGGAAATATTCTGGCCCTGATTCTTTACAGGGCTGATTTCGGGCTCAGGCCTGGTGTGTTAAGGGTAGATTTTAGGCGAGCCCTGGAACAAAATCTTTCGAGACCCCCCTTCCCCTCCCCTCCCCCCCCCCAACACTCCTCCCTCTCCTCTCCCCTTCGTTTCTAACCTGATTGCATCCAACAAGGCAAATTTCGAGTTGCTTGGTCGGGCCACAAATTCAACTCAACCTAGAACTTGTGCTTAAACCAATCACAGCTCGCTCTCTGTGGAGTGGGTAGACGGTTAAGGTTGGGTGAAAGTGCACAAGAACTACCCTGAAGGTTGGGTAGTAGAAGGTTGGGTAGTAGAAGGTTGGGTAGGCGGCCTTCCCTCCCGATGATCATCGGTTCTGCAAAGGCTAGGAAGCCTGCAAAGCGTGCGTAGTGATACGACACTAACTATTTCTCTTTATGTCGTGTTTGCTGCTTGTGGTTCATCTCAAACGTAGTTGTAAGCTCGGTAGTTGAAATGAGGATCCCAATTTTTTCGCGCCAAACCTGATTCAAGGGAGGAAATTTTTCCAGCCCTGAAGCCTAAAGGGCCGAGATTCGCCCCAACCCTGCTAAATACAGGGTCATACATACCGGGCCTCCTGATTTGTCCGGGGGGGCCAAAACGAAACGACAGGCCTGGCCGAAGTTCACCGTAAAAAAACTCAACGACGGTTTGGGTAGGGTTTGAACGACGTGACCACTGCACTGTAGCTGGAAATGCGACGCACGACAATGCAACTTCGAGACCTTGTTTGCAAATTAGCGGACGCATGCGATCTGGCGAGGCAATGCGACTATGCAGGGGCGAATTCGGGGCTGGGCAAAGTGCTACGATTGGTCGAAGGAAAACAGGGGCGCAACTGCAAACACGAAGCTACGGGCCGCATTCACCAAATCTCAAGACCTGCAAAAATGCCCTCGCTTTGGCCCTTGGCAGACCTGGGTAAGGGGAACTGGGACGGGGCTGGGACCGCAGCTGCAAAATCGAACCAAGGTGCCTTGCTTTTGTCGAGTCGCATATTAGGTATGGGTGGGAACTTTGAACCTCGATTAGACATTCCAGAATACATGTTACGAGTGCAATTGAGTGAACGAACGAGAATTGCACTATCGAAGCAAGAGTCCAAATGAGCGAAGGCATGAGCGAAGAATATATAGCGAAACTACAGTGGTAACGGTAATGGACTGTGGTTGTCGCGCGACGGGCCTGGGACTGAGGTTGGGAAAAATGTCGAAGCGGAGGCCCGGAGCGCGGGTTACCTGCCGAGCCGTGAGGTCGGGGTGCGATGTGCGAAGGTGGCGGGCGGATTGTCGATGCGAGGGTTGCGAGTGGTAACGGTGCTGACTGTGGTGCTACAGTGATGTACGCGTTGAGCAGGGATGCGAAGTAAGGAAAAGGAATTTTCCTTACACTACCCCCCCCCCCCTAAGGAGGTCCTCCTTACGAAAGTGCGTGTACATCCCTGAAATTTCGGCTGCGCAGATACTCGGTGAGGACGGGGTGGTTTTCGATTCTGTCCAGGGGAACCCAATTGTCTTCGGTGGGTGTACGGTCCTTCCAGCGGAGTAAGAACTCGATCCTTCGGGCTCCTCGAGGGTCGCGAACTCTGTGACTCAGGATTTTCTCGGGGGTGATGATTGGTTCAGTTGGTGGTCTTGTCATGCTGGCCGGGCGATTGCATGGCAGTTGGCTCGTGGACGGGACGTAAGGGCGAAGTAGGCTGACGTGGAATGAGGGGCTGACGTACCAGTTAGCAGGGAGGAGGAGGTGGGCGGTGACGGGTGTAAGCATGTGGCTTATGCGAAATGGCCCGCAGTATCGGGGGCGGAGTTTCGGGGTGATGGGCAGTCGGAGGTTCTGAGTGTCAAGTAAAACTAAGTCGTCAGGCTGGTAAGTGACAGGTCTGCGGTGGCGGTCGGCGTTGCGTTTAGCGATGATGTTCGATTTTTTTATTGCGTCTACTGCCCGGGTCCGTGCTGCTTGTAATATTTCGGCGAACTGTTGTGCTCGTGGTACTGGGTTGTCGGGATTCGGGGTCATGGGTACTGTCGGGTCTTGTCCGTAGTTTAAGTAAAATGGTGACTGTTGTGTCGTGGCGGATGGCGAGTTGTTGTACGCGAATTCGATTAGTGGTAGTTGCTGTTCCCACGTGGTCGGGTCGTCACACGTGGCCCTGATAAGTTGTTCCATGGTCTGATTTGTCCGTTCTGTCTGTCCGTCGGTTTCGGGGTGGTATGATGAACTGAACTGCAGTCGTGTGCCGAACTGCTGCCACAGGTTCCGCCAGAAGTTGCTGGTGAATTTCGTGTCGCGGTCGCTGATGATCGCGGCTGGTATCCCGTGCAGTCGAACGACGGTGGAGATGAAGAGGCGTGCTGTTTCTTCGGCTGTGATTGATTTTTTGCAGGCTGCGAAATGTGCCATTTTCGTCAGTCGATCGACGACGACCAGGATCGCGTCGTTCCCACTCGCCCCAGCTGGTAATCCCGTGACGAAGTCCATCGTCACCTGCTGCCAAGCACGCTCTGGGGGTGGTATCGGCTGCAACTGTCCTGCCGGCCGCTGTCGTGATGATTTCATGAGCTGACAAGTGGGACACGATGCCACGTGTCGTTGTACGTCGGTCAACATTTCGGGCCAGTAATAATACCGCTGCAGCTGCTGCCGTGTTTTTTCTACTCCGAAATGCCCCGAGGTAACTCCGTCGTGTGCCTCCTGTAACAGTAATTCCCGTAGCAGTGTATACCCAGGCACCCAAATGCGGTCAGTCCCGGTTTTTACGTAATAGACTCCCTTTGCTGCTGCGAACTGCTGCGAATTTCCTCTTGTGAAGAATGGATCCGTTTGGTACCCGTGGGTGAATAGGCCTGTCAGTAGCGGGCTTGTCTGGGCGAGTAGTATTGCGTGGATCTGGGCAGTGGGGCGGGTCAGTGCGTCGGCGATGTTCGAGGCTCCCTTTTTGTAAGTGACCGTGTAGTGAAAGTTGGACTCGAGGAAATCGAGCCAGCGAATCTGTCGTGGGTTGAGGTGTGGCTGTGCGCGAAGGTACTGTAGTGATTTATGGTCTGTCCGTACTGTCACGTCCGCGCCAGTCAAGTAACAGCGCCATACTTTGAACGCGTGCACGATCGCAAGCATTTCGCGGTCGTGTATCGGGTAATTTTTCTCGGGCGGATGCAGTTTTCGTGACTCGTATGCGATAGGCTGTAGGCCATTGCCGAAATCCTGTAGCAGTACGGCTCCGATGGCGATATCGCTTGCGTCGGTAACTACTTCGAATGGGCGGTGTGGGTCGGCGATGCCCAAGACGGGCGGTGAACAGAGAACATTTTTCAGGGCAGAGAAGGCAGCATGCTCTTTCTCCCCCCACGTAAAAGCGACCCCCTTCCGCAGTAAATCCGCCAGTGGGGCAGTTAACCGTGCCATATCGGGGACGAACCGACGCACATAATTAACGAACCCTAAAAAGCTCTGCAGCTCCGTGATGTTCGTCGGGGGATGCCACGCTTTTACCGTATCCAGCTTCTTTGGGTCGATTTCAACTCCAGCCTCCGAAATAACGTGCCCCAAAAATTCTAACCTATCCTGGAAGAATTCGCACTTGGAACCCTTGGTCAGTAATCTGTGCTCGTCTAAAACCTTAAACACTGCTTCCAGATCTGCTAAGTGCTGCTGCTTATCCCGACTGTACACTAGGATGTCGTCGAGGTAAACTATTACACATTTATCTAAGAGCGGCCTAAATGCCTCGTTCATGGTCATCTGAAAAGTCGCCGGTGCGTTGGTCAGCCCGAATGGCATCACAGTGTACTCGAACGACCCGTACCTAGTCCTGAAAGCTGTTTTGGCGCAGTCCGATGGTT